TGTCAATGTTACCCAGGGCAATTTACACGTTTAATGCAATCCCTATCAAAATACCATGGACTTTCTTCAGAGAGTTAGAACAAATTATGTTAAGATTTGTGTGGAATCAGGAGGAGCAAGATGGCGGAAGAGCAGGGTCCCCAAATCACCTGTCCCCACCAAATTACCTAGATAACCTTCAAACCATCCTGAAAATTTACGAATTCGGCCTAAGATGTAAAGAGAGACCAGCTGGAATGCTACAGTGAGAAGAGTTCGCGCTTCTATCAAGGTAGGAAGACGGGGGAAAAAGAAATAAAGAAACAAAAGGCCTCCGAGGGGGAGGGGCCCCGCGAGGAGCCGGGCTAAGGCCGGGCGAGTGCCCCCAGGACAGGAGAGCCCCGTCCCGGAGAAGCAGGAGCTGCACCAACCTTCCCGGGCGGGCGGAAAGGGGCTCACAGGGAGTTAGAGCAGGACCCAGGAGGGCGGGGATGCCCTCGGGCTCCCTGGGACACTAACAGACACCTGTGAGCGCAAGAGAGTGCTCCGAGCTCCCTAAGGGCTGCAGCGCGCACCAGAGCACCTCAGAGGGGCTCGGGAGCGGCTCCAGGGAGGGGGCTGCGGGGCAGGAGCGCGAATCCAACAGCCCAGGCCCCGGAGCACAGGGCGCCGGGACACAGCCCAGGATCCGGCCTCCCCCGGGACAGGCAGAGGCCGGGAGGGCCCAGGACAGCGAGGACGCTCCTGCCCCGAGCTGAGCAGCTCAGCGGCCCCGCCCCGGAGCCTCCAGGCCCTGCAGACGGAGAGCCGAGAGCCCCGAGCCCCGTAGTTCCTGCGGAGGCTGAATCCAGGCTTCCAGAGCTGCCATAGCAACTGCGGCTGTTCCTCCTGGGGCCCCACGGGGTAAACAACCCCCGCTGAGCCCGGCAGCAGGCAGGGGCAGAGCAGCTCCCCCAAGTGCTAACACCTGAAAATCAGCACAGCAGGCCCCTCCCCCAGAAGACCAGCTAGACGGACCAGTGATACTCCCCCGTGTTCCAATACAACTTGTTTTTGGCCACTCTGCACTGAGCAAAATGACTAGAAGGAAAACCTCACCTCAAAAGAAAGAATCAGAAACAGCCCTCTCTCCCACAGAGTTACAAAATCTGGATTACAATTCAATGTCAGAAAGCCAATTCAGAAGCACTATTCTACAGCTACTGGTGGCTCTAGAAAAAAGCATTAAGGACTCACGAGACTTCATGACTGTAGAATTTAGATCCAATCAGGCAGAAATTAAAAATCAATTGAATGAGATGCAATCCAAACTAGAAGTCCTAACGACGAGGGTTAACGAGGTGGAAGAACGAGTGAGTGACATAGAAGACAAGTTAATGGCAAAGAGGGAAACTGAGGAAAAAAGAGACAATCAATTAAGGGACCATGAAGACAGATTAAGGGAAATAAATGACAGTCTAAGGAAGAAAAACCTACGCTTAATTGGGGTTCCCGAGGGCGCCGAAAGGGACAGAGGGCCAGAATATGTATTTGAACAAATCCTAGCTGAAAACTTTCCCAATCTGGGAAGGGAAACAGGCATTCAGATCCAGGAAATAGAGAGATCCCCCCCTAAAATCAATAAAAACAGTTGAACACCTCGACATTTAATTGTTAAGCTTGCAAATTCCAAAGATAAAGAGAAGATCCTTAAAGCAGCAAGAGACAAAAAACCCTGACTTTTATGGGGAGGAGTATTAGGGTAACAGCAGACCTCTCCACAGAGACCTGGAAGGCCAGAAAGGGCTGGCAGGATATATTCAGGGTCCTAAATGAGAAGAACATGCAACCAAGAGTACTTTATCCAGCAAGGCTCTCATTCAAAATGGAAAGAGAGATAAAGAGCTTCCAAGACAGGCAGGAAGGAAAGAATATGTGACCTCCAAACCAGCTCTGCAAGAAATTAAAGGGGGACTCTTAAAACTCCCCTTTAAGAAGAAGTTCAGTGGAACAATCCACAAAAACAAGGACTAAATAGATATCATGATGACACTAATCTCATATCTGTCAATAGTAACTCTGAACGTGAACGGGCTTAATGACCCCATAAAAAGGCGCAGGGTTTCAGACTGGATAAAAAAGCAGGACCCATCTATTTGCTGTCTACAAGAGACTCATTTTAGACAGAAGGACACCTACAACCTGAAAATAAAAGGTTGGAGAACCACTTACCATTCAAATGGTTCTCAAAATATACCCTAAAAACTATAGAACACTTCTGAAAGAAATTGAGGAAGACACAAAGAGATGGAAAAATATTCCATGCTCATGGATTGGCAGAATTAATATTGTGAAAATGTCAATGTTACCCAGGGCAATTTACACGTATAATGCAATCCCTATCAAAATACCATGGACTTTCTTCAGAGACTTAGAACAAATTATTTTAAGATTTGTGTGGAATCAGAAAAGACCCCAAACAGCCAGGGGAATTTTAAAAAAAGAAAACCATATCTGGGGGCATCACAATGCCAGATTTCAGGTTGTACTACAAAGCTGTGTTCATCAAGACAGTGTGGTACTGGCACAAAAACAGACATATAGATCAATGGAACAGAACAGAGAACCCAGAAGTGGACCCTGAACTTTATGGTCAACTAATATACGATAAAGGAGGAAAGACGATCCACTGGAAGAAAGACAGTCTCTTCAATAAATGGTGCTGGGAAAATTGGACATCCACATGCAGAAGAATGAAACTGGACCACTCTCTTGCACCATACACAAAGATAAACTCAAAATAGATGAAAGATCTAAATGTGAGACAAGATTCCATCAAAATCCCAGAGGAGAACTCAGGCAACACCCTTTTTGAACTTGGCCACAGTAACCGGAGAAGGACAAACAGTGTATGTTCTCATTCATTTGGGGAATATGAATAATAGTGAAAGGGCATATAGGGGAAGGGAGAAGAAGTGTGTGAGAAATATCAGAAAGGGAGACAGAACATAAAGACTTCTAACTCTGGGAAATGAACTGGGGGTGGTGGAGGGGGAGGAGGGCGGGGGGTGGGGGTGAATGGATGACGGGCACTGAGGGGTACACTTGACGGGATGAGCACTGGGTGTTATTCTGTATGTTGGTAAATTGAACACCAATAAAAATTAATTTATAAAATTAAAAAAAAAAAGATTTGTGTGGAATCAGAAAAGACCCTGAATAGCCAGGGGAATTTTACAAAAGAAAACCATATCTGAGGGCATCACGATGCCAGATTTCAGGTTGGACTACAAAGCTGTGGTCATCAAGACAGTGTGGTACTGGCACAAAAAACAGACACATACATCAATGGAACAGAATAGAGAACCTAGAAGTGGACCCTGAACTTTATGGTCAACTAATATTCGATAAAGGAGGAAAGACTATCCACTGGAAAAAGGACAGTCTCTTCAATAAATGGTGCTGGGAAAATTGGACATCCACATGCAGAAGAATGAAACTAGACCACTCTCTTTCACCATACACAAAGATAAACTCAAATGGATGAGAGATCTAAATGTGAGACAAGATTCCATCAAAATCCTAGAGGAGAACACAGGCAACACCTTTTTTGAACTCGGCCACAGTAACTTCTTGCAAGATACATCCACGAAGGCAAAAGAAACAAAAGCAAAAATGAACTATTGGGACTTCATCAAGATAAGAAGCTTTTGCACAGCAAAGGATACAGTCAACAAAACTAAAAGACAACCTACAGAATGGGAGAAGATATTTGCAAATGATGTGTCAGATAAAGGGCTAGTTTCCAAGATCTATAAAGAACTTACTAAACTCAACACCAAAGAAACAAACAACCCAATCATGAAATGGGCAAAAGACATGAACAGAAGTCTCACAGAGGAAGACATAGACATGGCCAACAAGCACATGAGAAAATGCTCTGCATTACTGGCCATCAGGGAAATACAAATCAAAACCACAATGAGATACCACCTCACACCAGTGAGAATGGAGAAAATTAACAAGGCAGGAAACCACAAATGTTGGAGAGGATGTGGAGAAAGGGGAATCCTCCTGCACTGTTCGTGGGAATGTGAACTGGTGCAGCCACTCTGGAAAACTGTGTGGAGGTTCCTCAAAGAGTTAAAAATAGATCTGCCCTACAACCCAGTAATTGCACTGTTGGGGATTTACCTCAAAGATCCAGATGCAATGAAACGCCAGGATACCTGCACCCCGATGTTTATAGGAGCAATGTCCACAATAGCCAAACTGTGGAAGGAGCCTCGGTGTCCATCAAAAGATGAATGGATAAAGAAGATGTGGTTTATGTATACAATGGAATATTACTCAGCCATCAGAAACGACAAATACCCACCATTTGCTTCGCCGTGGATGGAACTGGAGGGTATTATGCTGAGTGAAGTAAGTCAATCGGAGAAGAACAAACATTATATGGTCTCATTCATTTGGGGAATATAAAAAATAGTGAAAGGAAATAAAGGGAAAGGGGGAAAAATAAGTGGGAAACATCAGAAAGGGAGACAGAAAATAAAGACTCCTAACTCTGGGAAACAAACTAGGGGTGATGGAAGGGGAGGAGGGCGGGGGGTGGGGGTAAATGGGTGACGGGCACTGAGGGGGGCACTTGACGGGATGAGCACTGGGTGTTATTCTGTATGTTGGTAAATTGAACACCAATAAAAAATAAATTTATTAAAAAAATAAAATAAAATAAATTAAAATAAAAAAACTTAAGAAAAAAACAAAAAGGAAATAAAGGGAAAAGGAGAAAAAATGAGTGGGAAATATCAGAAAGGGAGACAGAACATGAAAGACTCCTAACTATGGGAAATGAACTAGGTATGGTGGAAGGGTAGTTGGGCGGGGGGTGCGGGTGCCTGGGTGGTGGGCACTGAGGTGGGCACTTGACGGGATGAGCACTGGGTGTTATTTTGTAAGTTGGCAAATTGAACACCAATAAAAAATAAATTTATAAAAAAAAAGATTATTGCTGGTACATTATCATGGTTCTAGGCATGAAATCTATAGAACACTTGACAAATTTAAGTGTCATTCTTGTGTGTAGGCCATGCTAATCTTCTCTTTATCTTTCTAATATTAGTATATGTGCTGCCAAAGTGAGCACTTAAGTTACTTTTCTATTATTATCATCACTTGGGGTGGTCTACTTCAATCGTCTGATTTTTCTCCTGGTTATAGGTCACATTTTTCTGATTCTTCTTTCATCTAGCAATTTTTTAAAAAGATTTTATTTATTTGTTTGTTTGTTTATTTATTTGAGAGAGAGAGAGAGAGAGAGAGAAAATGCATGCGTATAAGCAGGGGAAGAGGCAGAGGCAGAGGGAGAGAATCTCAAGAAGATGCCCCACTGAGCACAGAGCCCAACATGGGACTCAATATTACAACCTAAGATCATGAAATGAGCTGAAATCCAAGACCAGATGCTGAAGAGACTGAGCCAGCCAGGTGGTAACTTTTATCAGATATCAAACATGTTAAGTTTCTAGATTTTGTTGTCTTTATTTTACAAAAAAAAAAATAGCTTCCCACAATTATATGGTCAACTAATCTTCAACACAGCAGAAAAAAAATATGCAATGGAAAAGTCTCTTCAACAAATGGTGCTGAGTCTGGGAAACTAACAAGAGGTAGTGGAAAGCGAGGTGGGCAGGCGGCTGGGGTGACTGGGTGATGGGCACTGAGTGGGCCACTTGGCGGGATGAGAACTGGGTGTTATGCTATATGTTGACAAATAGAACACCAATAAAAAAAATTTTAAAAAATACACACAAAAAAACAAATCGTATTGAGAAAACTAGACTACTTTCTTATACTACACACAAAAAATAAATTCAAAATAGATGAGGGACCTAAATGTGAGACAGGAAACTATCAGAATCCTGGAGGAGAACACAGGCAGCAACCTCTTTGACCTCAGCTCAAGCAACTTGTTACTAGACATGTCACTGGGGGCAAAGGAAATAAAAGCAAAAATAAACTACTGGGACTTCATCAAGATAAAAAGCTTCTGCATAGTGCAGAAAAAAACAAAACGAAAAGCCTATGGAATGGGAGAAGAGATTTGCAAATGACGTATCTGATAAAGGGTTAGTATCCAAAATCTAAAAAGAACTTATCAAACTCAACACCCAAAACACAAATAATCCAGTTAAGAAATGGGCAGAAGACATGAAGAGACACTTTGCCAAAGAAGACATTCAGATGGCTAACATACACATGAGAGCATGCTCAACATCACTTATCCTAAAGGAAATACAAATCAAAACCACAATGAGACAGCACCTCACACCTATCAGAATGGCTACAATTAACACCACAGGAAGCAACAGATGTTGGCAAGAATACAGAGAAAGAAGAGCCCTCTTACATTGTTGGTGGGAATGCAAACTGGTGCAACCACTCTGGAAAACAGTACAGAGGTTCCTCAAAAAGTCAAAAATAAAACTACCCTATGATCAAGCAATTGCACTACTAGGTATTTACCAGAAGTATACAAAAATACATTCCAGAGGTGCATACACCCTGATATTTATAGCAGCCTTATTAACAATAGCCAAACTATGAAAAGAGCGTAAGGGCCCATCAACTAATGAATGCATAAAGAAGATGCGATACACACACATACACATACACACACGCACACACTGGAATATTACTCAGCCATCAAAAGTAATGAAATCTTGCCATTTTCCATGACATGGATGGAGCTAGACTGTATTATACTAAACAAAGTAAGTCAGAGAAAGACAAATACTATAGGATTTCACTCATATGTGAAATTTAAGAAACAAAACAGATGAACGTATGGAAGGGGGAAAAAAAGAGCAGAGGAAACCAGTTGACGCAGGAAGGGGGTTGAGCTACATGGGTAATGGGTATTAAGGAGGGCACTTGTGATGAACCCTGGGAGCTATATGTAAGTGATGAATCATTAAATTCTACTCCTAAAACCAGTATTACACTATGTGTTAACTAACTAGAATTAAAATTAAAATTTGGGGGAAAAAAGGTTAATTTATTTTCAGAGCAACTTAACCATTAGCTATTTCAAGACTTGTTTTTAAGCTTTGTTAGGACTGTCCTAGAGAAGCCTTTATTTCAGGGCTCATTTAATCTTTTCTACCACCTGTATTGAATGCCTGTGCTATTAAGTACTCTAATACTAGAGTTTCAAACAGTATTGGAACTCTAGTATTTCTAAACCCTGTGTGAGCTCCAAGTGTTATTTGGTTAGCATCTCCTTGGTATTTGTTCTTTCTTAAACCTCAAGGAGTCTTACCCTAGGCATTCACTGCTCACTAATCAGCCAAAGACTCAAGAAACACTTAGGAAGATTTCTGGAGGCCTTTCTAGATGTAGCTGTCATCTCTGCATTACTTTGCCTCATAAATTCCATAAATTTTGTCCCATACCGCAATCATACCAAACTCTTGATTTCTGTCTCCTCAGTTCAATGAAATTGCTGCACTGTATACTTGGTTCTCTTTCAGGGATGGGAATCTTTGCTTCCTTCTGCATAATGCCTAGAAAAACTTGTTTTGAATCTTTCCTACCCCACATTTTCTATTACAAATGGCTAGAGGGTTAGTCTCGTATAAGTGACTATGTCATGGCTCCAAGAGTGTAAGTTTCTACTTATATAATTTTCTATCATGTCTTTTTCACTTATAATAACATGCAAATATACTACTGTCTGGTTATTTCAACATTATTTAACATTTCTCTATTGCTGGATCTCTTGGTTAAAGTTATTTCTATTGTAAATAATAGTGTGATGAAGATCTCTTAAACAAATGTTTGGATATAATTTTAAAATTAAAAAGGTAGACTACTTAAATGTTTATTAATAGGGAAGTTGCTATTTAAATTACTCCTACATTCATTTATTATTAAGTATAGAGGCATATGTTAAGGGTTGAACTATGTCTCCTAAAAAGAGAGGTTAAAGTCCTACTAATCTCCAGTACTTCAGAATGCGACCTTATTTGGAAATAGAGTTGTTCCTACTGTAGTTAAGATGAAGTTATTAGGGTGGACCTTAATATAATAGGACTGGTGTTCTTTGATGAAAGGGGGAGATTTGAACACAGATATAGAAAACAGTGTAAAGACACACAAGGAGAAGATGGTTATCTGACAGGAGTGATGCATTTACAAGCAAAGGGATGCCAAGGGTTGGCAGCACATACCAGAAGCTAGAAGCAAGGAAGAACCCTCCCCTACAGCTGTCAGAGAAAACATGGCCCTAATAACACCATGATTTTAGACTTCTAGCCTCCAGAACTGAGAGACAAACATTACTGTTGTTTTAAGTCACCGGATGTGGAACTCTGTTATGAGCACTAGGAAACTAATATGTCATACAATAAAGATCAAGTGATTATTAAAAATCATGTTAAAAAACTTTCTAAAATATGGGAAAATGCTCATCACAATGTCTGAAATAGGTACTATTATTATTCCCATTTAACAAATATGAAAAATGAGGTCCTAGGCTTAATAATTTGCCTAGGTTGGCTGCAACATGATTTGAATCCAGGTTGACCCCTATGTGCACTTAACTTCTATGCCATACTATCTCTTAATTATTAAAAGTTGTAAACAGCATTAGAACTCTCAATGCAAACTGAGAGGTCAGTTCTATTTAAATATAAACAAAATAAGCCTGGGAAGCAAGAATGCAGAAACCTGAACTGAGCTGGAGATAAAATACTCTAACATTCGCCAAATACAGTGCATTTTACTCATTGTCTTTTTTTTTTTTTTTTTTAAGTAATCCCTATTCCCATTGGAGGGCTTCAACCTATGATCAAGAGTCTCATGCTGTACTTACTGAGCCAGCAAGGTGCCCCTACAGTGCATTTTATTTATTTTATTTTAATTAGTTTATATTAGTTTTTTTTTTTTTTTAAGTAATCTCCACACCTAATGTGGGGCTTGAACTTACAACCTCAAGATCAAGAGTTACATGATCTACCAACTGAGACAGCCAGGCACCATCTACAGTGCATTTTATTTTTTTAATTTTTAATTTTTTTTCAAATATATATATTTTTTAAATGCATGAGAGACAGAGAGGCAGAGACACAGGCAGAGGGAGAAGCAGGCTCCATGCAAGGAGCCCGATGCAGGGCTCAATCCCAGGACCCAGGGACCAGGGACCATGCCCTTGGCCGAAGGTAGATGTTCAACCACTGAGCCACCCGGGTGTTTTTTTTTAAGATTTTATTTATTTATTTATGAGAGACAGAGAGACAGAGAAAGGCAGAGGCAGAGGGAGAAGAAGGCTCCCCATGGAGCAGGGAGCCCAATGTGGGACTTGATCCCAGGACTCCAGGATCACAGCCTGAACTGAAGGCAAATGCTCAATCAACTGAGCCACCGGGTGCCCCTACAGTGCATTTTAGAATAAATTTTTCAGAGTGGCCAATCCACAGAGTAAACTTAAAAGAACACCTATACCTAAAAAGTAGTCAGAATAATAAACACTTCTATGAAAATACACTATTCTTTGTTATGTTTTATTTTCTCTTATAAAACTGTGAAAAGTCCATTCCTTGAGTAACGAGGAAAAAAGCCTAGAGATTAGAGGCTGAGTATACCATGGGACAGGCTGTTAAAAAAACTAGAGTTCTCAGAACCTGTAGGAATAAAAAAAGGAAATTTTTCTATCACAGGCAGTTTATGTTTATAAATGAACTGGGAAATTAGTAGAAAGGGTCAGAAAAGCTTCTAGGTAGAAGTTTAGTTGAGAACAAAGCAGTTTTATATGTCACATCCCATTCCCTAAACCCTCCTCCCCTACCAACTGGACATAAAAGAGCTTTTACTGAGTTGTCTTTTTGAAGTATGCACTGAATTTTCAGCAAAGAGTAAGAAAGTATCTAATAAAATTTACTGCTATTTCTTACAATACTATTGTTAAAAATAACGTTCATGTTGAGGCCGTTTTTAATATCATCCCTACTGAGGTCCTATAAAAGAAATTTATCTTCCTATGAGGATACGGAATGGTTTTTCCTCCTTATATAGAAAGAGAATCATGTAGCTGATTATTTGCAGCCCATCACAAAAAGAACATGAATTACCATGTATGGTCTACAT